GGGGCTGGCTTGGGCCAACAGGAGGGTCTGAACCAGCTGGAAGCAGTACCAGACTGACGAGCCTTCAACAGCAGCTTAGTCGCTAGAGAAAGGAAATGGCCACACTAGGAATTTGAAATACCCCAGAACAATGCATCAGATCTGTCAATTAAAATTGCTTCTGGTATTTGCTACATCCCCAGAGTCAAATCATCCTCTTCAGGAGACATATTTGGAGGCCCAAGCGCACACAGCAGGAAGCATGGGGTCACAAATGAACACAGCGGAGGTGCCGCAGACCCCCGTTTGTCACAACCAGGGATCCAAAAATACTGTTTCAGCAGGAGAGGCCAAGCCTTGCAATACTGAGCACCCACATGGCAGCATCCCCCCACTTCAGGGAGAAGCCTTGCCCCATGCATGTGTCTGCATGTGGGATCCCAAACTCCTGATGTAGAAACAAGACCCTGCACCTTCCCTACCCCAACATCTGCCAAGGGTTTCTCACCACAACTCTGCCCCATTGTTGGGGTCTGCCCTCATCTCCCCCTCCCTACACAAACACAGATCCCTCAATGAAGCTCATTATCACCCCACCAGCCTCTGTCTTGTACCCTGAAGGGGCTGACTCGCTTTGTACCCACCACCAGGAACCCTGCAGACAGTGCAGGACCCTACAAGAGGCTTGTCCTGACCTCATTTTTACCTGCTTTGTTGAGGTTTTCTTGGAGAAGGGGCCAGTGCTACAGAGGTTACTCCTCTTTCCCTGGGGTAAGATGCAGGGCTAGGACAAGCAGCTAGCTCTACCAGAGGCAAAGGGTCAGGAAAACTCTGCAAGAGGAGCAGGGCTGGTTGGAGATGCTTCTCCTACATCACCTCCTCCTTCCCACAGGTGGGACTGTAGTAGCCTGGCTCTGGGTCCTCTTAGTGCTGATTACTTCCAGCTGGGTCCACCAGATTGCACCCCACATCCATCCCTAAGCCAAGGCTTCATTGCACTCATCAGATTCAGCTGTGCATTGTCCCTCACTCAGCCCCACATGCCTCATTATGTTCCACTTCACTCCAGCCAACATGGTCACACACCTACAAGCTTTCTAAAGGGCCACTGTCTTTACCCAGGCCTCTCTTCTCTGGCCCTAGTGCACACAGCGGTCTCTTTAGGACTGAAGGGCTTCAGGTGAAGTGACATCATTGGGCTAATTATTGGTCATAAGTGATACGTAATGGCCTGTGTTAGGCAGTGAGTTAGATTAGGTGATCTACCAGGGTGCCCTAGTTATAAACTCACTGAAACTATGAATAACTAGGTCAAGACTAGTGTATGATCCCTGCCTGCATATTAGCTGGCTGGTGCCAAGAGTCATCCTTTCATTTCCATGGGAACTATATTCACTTGGAAGTATCACAGATTCTCCCAGAACAAAGCACTACAAGACTGGGAGAGCAATGGACTGGGCTCTGCATAGCTAATCACTGCAGCACCATCACTGCTTTCCAGGAAGGAGGAAACCAAAGCTCCCTTATTGTTCAGATAAGGTTTGTAAAGCTTTTCATCAACAAAAGGTGCTGTGGATTAGCATGATTCACCCATGTTTTTCTTCTTTGGGATCAGACTGCTATACGCTCAATAACTAGATCATGTGAATTTGCTTGTATGGTCGGTTGGGGGGTGGGGGTGGAAAAGGAGTAAATCATATACCCGATTCATAGGACACGACTAATGAGTCACAAGGAAGCAATATGAGCCTGATGACTGTGTGAGTAAGTACCTCGCTGCATAGAGAGATAAAATTAAACTGCAGAAGACGGCATTAAAGTAACTGTAAATACCCTGGCCTAAATGCATAAAAGAGGGGAAATTCAGAGTTATGGATTCACCTACCTGTACACTCATTAACTACAGCTTTAAATGACAGCACATTTGTGGGAATCCCACCTGCCATGTGTGCTGGAAATACCTTGGCACAACACAATGAGCAAAGGATGGCATTTTAGACTTGATTTTGAACGTTCAGGCTTGCGTGGGCTTGGCAGATTCTTAATATACCTTCAAGTACTTGCCTTTTACTTTGCTTGCTGTCTACTGAATAAAACAAATAGAAAAACAAGGTGTTTTGTTTTTTTTTTTTAAAGTAGGATATTTTATTGAGATAACAGAATACGGAAAATTGCCACAGCAGATCAAAGTAACTCCTCTGGGCCTAGCCTGTGCCTTCTTGACTATGCATATTGTTTAACTGATAGGCCATAACAGCTCATTTGGAGCCATTAGGTCTATTGTGTAAATATGTGGTTAGGGGCTCTTTAATGTGTGTTATTGACACTATAGACCATAATGGCTGCTTTGGAGCTGTTAGTCTCTTTTGTCACGACCTAGATGAGAGTTTTTAATCTGTAAAGATTTGACTGCTTTGTAGGCAGCTTATGGGCCCAATAGGCAGCTTGAGTGCATGGCTTGATGGTGCACTCTTGCTTTGCTGGAGAAAGAGCTGCAGTGGGCAGAGGATAACAGCTCTCAAAAGCAGGACATCATCTCTAGAAAGGGGGCCACACTTTCAAGCGAATAACCAGGACTGGCCACATCTATAAAGGAGGATACCTGGCTGGGAAGGGTTAGGAGGGTGGGAGAGAAAAGGATGCATTTTCCTCTCCAACCTCCGCACTTGGCTGATTGAAAACACCAGCAGGAAGTACTGCCACCCCTGCCAATCACCCCCTCTGCGAAGATCAAAACTTCCTTAGCACTTGGTTGTCCTACATCTCTCATGTTCCCGAGGCTGTGAATTCTGCCCACATGGCATCTCAGAAAAAGAGGAGATAGGTGATCCCTAGGCTTGTATATCCAAGTGTCACTATTTTCAGACATGCAGCCTGTACTGCACCTCTTTCAGAACTAAACTTTGTTGTGCAAGATGCTTAGCACCCTTGTCCTGCAGCGACCAGGGCAATTTATTCCCATCTCTGCTTCCAGAGAGAGCTCTCCTCTTCTCAGGGGATGACCCCAGTGGTCTCCCCAGGAAACACAGACTGCTCATTCAGATTATGTAGTAATGACCGACTGCTATCTTAATGGGTTTTTGCTAAACAAATATAGTATCAGAAATGATTTGCACATGTGAAAATGGAACACATCACGTAGCGCTCATTTTCAAAGTCGCTTCTCTGGCTGAGGTGGAGGTATGGCGTGAACTGGAAAAATAGCGCGTCCTGAACTGTGGTGCGCTGGACCGTGTCTTGTCCTGTTCTGTTTTTTGGGTTCGTGTCAATGGGTGAAGTGAAAAAATTAGGAAAAACTGGTTTGGGTTTAACTGAAATGGAAAGCTTGAATAGTTTTCAGGGAAACGATAAAACTGAAACCCTCAGCTTGCAGTCGACCCAAAACATCCAGTTCACCTCAAAACAAGATTTAATTCCGAAATTATTTACAGTATACTTTTTAAAAGCGTTCTCTCTCTCCCTTGTCTCTCTTTAATTTAGAAGACTTAAATGGAATTTGCTGCTTTGAAATGCAAAATTGGGAAGTTGCATTTTCTGAAAGCCTCAAAGTGAAAGTTTTTGTTTTGAAAAACGTCATATTTCAGAACTTCTCCTTTTTTATTCCCACTTGAGACATCGTATTTGGACCCAACTGATTCCACTTTCTCCGAATTTCCACTTCTTAATAAATTTACCATTCATCCAATAAAAGGCCCAACTCTGGGTCTATGCTCCTAGCTCGGATTTCGGCTCTAACCTACTTTCAAGTGTTTATGGAAGCTGATACAAGTGCTCAGAGAACCACCAGCTCTTTGTTTCTCAAGCAGTCGTCTTTCTCAAAAGAAAATTCCTCCACACCCACGTCATTAAAGAGATCCCCCCCCTTCCCAGGAGGTGGAAATCATGGCTTCCTTTGCTAGGGGTAAGAAGATACCTATTCCTGGAAAATTATTAGTCATTATAAAGTGTTACAAGAAATACCTAAACAGGAACCAGCTCTGCTCCAAAATCAAAATCCATTTTTAGCTTTTATTTCCTGGTGCCGCGTTGCAGAAATTCCATCCACGCACTTGTCTGGGATGAATAATAAATAAAATACCCGAGATGTCTTTATTGGAAAAGGGCTTTGTGGTTCAGGAAAGATCCCCAAGCCCTCCTCCCCTTCCCCAGCCCAGAAGCTAGCCATTTCGAGGTAAGACCTGAAAATTGATGATTTTGAAAGTTTTTCCTACTGACATGCTGTTCTGCTCCTGCATTCCTGTGGTGCCAACAGATGAAGTTGTAAGCCTGCTTGCCTCCCTGCATCTAATCCTGATACTGCTCAGCAGCAGGGAAGGTGGGCAAATGTTCACTAGCAGTTGTTGGCAAAGAAGCACAGCAGGATTTAAACTGGATGACGCCACTGCATGTGTAAAACAACCATTTGAGCAAATGCTACTCTGGTAGCATTTTTAACCAGTAAAATTGAGCTTGCTTTTAACCTTTTGCTAGCTAACTAGCAGCAGTAGCTAGCTATGATTAATTCCATGCTCCAGCTTTTTTACTAGTCCGGTGAAAGGAAGGATCAGATCTTATTGTACACTGTGACAGCCTTTTAAGTGTGACCTTAATAATAATAACCCCCCCATGCAACAAGGTTCTGCCTCGTTCTGTATGATCATTAAACCACCTCTTACAATTTTCATAAGGATGTTTTCCTTAGTGCTCTGAGCCCGATTTTTCTCTCTCTCTCTGCTGCTATAGCTGTAAAGCAAGCCAATTAGCTGATGCAGTTCACCTTTGAAGGAGCTATATTTCAGCAGGTGGAACAAGCTCCCCCCCACCATAACACTTTGGGATCCTTTTGGATGAAAGCACCATAACAGCAATAAAGAAAGGAAGATGCCTTGCTCATTGCACATGAAAAAGCTTGTTGTTAAAGCTTCTGGCCTCCCCTCACAGCACAAGAAGGATTGAGCACCACACAAAAGGTGATTTAACTGCCTTTTATGGGGGCACAGACAGTCATTAGCAAACCCCAAAGTAACACAGCTGGGGCTGCTACGCCTTGCTGCCAGAAGCTGCCTCAG